CTGTTTTAAATATTATTGCCTGCCTCATGAAAGTCATGCTGCTGTCACAGGAAAATCATGTTGCAGCCACATGAAAAAATCATGTGGCTGCCACAGGGAAATCATGTGGCAGTCACATGAAAATCATGTGGCAGCCACATGAAAAAATCATGTGGCCTGCCACAGGAATGTATCATGTGGCAGCCCCAATTTTTTTTTTTGCGTGTATCTGAGTTTAACATATTAGAATCTAATTCTAAGAGCATGAAGTGTTTTTTCAATTTTTTCGATTTTTTAAGTCGAGTGGTTCAATTGACCCCCTTCTCTCCTACATTCCTGCTACTTGGTCGCCTCTATAAATTTATAAAGGTTGCCACTGGAATTTTGCAACACGGTTTCCAGAATCGAACCGAGAAAACTCGATTTCCGAAAAAACAGAATAAAACCATTAACTTCCCGATTTTTGAAAATTTTCAATCTTCTTAGCGGGAAGTTAAAATGTTGATAATGTCAGTTCTTTTCGCTCGTTTTATTTTTTTTTAGTCCCTCTACATGTATTTGGTATCAACATGATGCATCCGTTGAAAAATAAAAATTTTGAAAAGTAAGGAAGGAGGCTCCTAAAAAAACATTTGTTATTTGCGTTTTTTTACTCATTTTACTAATATGGGGTAAAATTGGCCGCCTATAAATTTTAAAGGTTTCAGTATTTATATTCGTTTTACTTTATTTAAAGCTTTTACCTGATAGTAAAACTAACTCGATATATAGACAACATCCAAGTCAGAAGGATTTCTTAAAGATGTCTTTTCAAAGACTTCCTTGAGAACTCCAAATATGACGTCTTAAAGACCTCATTTTTCGGAACTCCTAATTAAAAAGTCTTTAAGAAGTTTTTTTTTAAGTTCTATAAGACATCACAGATATGATCTCTTTGAGAAGTCTTTTTTCCGACTTCGTAAGAGGTCAAAAAAATGAGCTGTTTAAGAGGTCTTTTTTTGGACTTTCCAAGACATCAGAAATATGAGCTCTTTAAGAGTTCTTTTTTTCTGACTTCGTAAGACATCAAGAATAGGAGCTCTTGAATAGGTTTTTTTTTTCTGATTTTGTACTTCGTCAAAATATGGGACTTAAAAAAATTTTTTTCACGTTATTGAAGAATTTTTAAAATGATAAAAAAATATGAATAATCGCATTCGAGTGAACTCATTTCGCTATGTATTTATTTTGATATTATAAAAATATTATCGTAAATAGCAAAACGTTCAGTAATTCTACTTATTAAAAATTAAATCGATAATTATCGATAATTAAATCGAAAGGTATTTTTTTTATTTTTGGGTAGAAAAGTTGATATCAAGTTTTTTATCGTTGCTATAAGTCGTTTATAATCTTATGTGAACATAAAAGCTTATGTAGAAAAAAAAATTTACTATCTCATTAGGAGCAGCTAGCCAAGGCAGACCAGGGGACACCACATCACTGAAGTTAAGAGGCATTAGTCATGGTAAATACTTGGATGGATGACCGCTAGTAAATTCATATTCTAAGCTGCGAGCGACACCTTTTTTTTTTTATTTCGAAGAAAATATATTTTAATGTACTTGATTGTCTTCAATTTAAGCTCTTTTTTAATATTAATTACAATTAAAACTGAAAATGTCTCCTCTATAAACTATTTTTTTCTGGAGTCAGAAAGGGCTCTAAATTCTGACTTCTTTAAGAACTCTTTTTTTAAAGTCAGAAAAAAGAGCTCTTTAAGAACTCTCTCTATGAAGTCCTGATTCACTCTTTAGGTGGCGCATTGGACGTCCTCAAAACGTCTTGGAGACCTCATTTTGATCAAAATTCTGACGTCTAAATCTTAAATAAGAGTTCTTTGAGAACTGTAAAAGACGTCATATTGCTATCTGGGTACAAGCGAAAATCTTAAACCCAAAATATAACTTTGAAGAATTTCATAATCTTTAATCAAGCATCAAAGTTCTTGACCTAAGAAAATTTACTTGATTAAAAACTTTTCTACTCCAATCATGATAATCGAATTTTTTAAAATGGTGTTCTTGGATCAAAATTTTCGCTTTTGTACCGGGTTAATTTCCTTATCATTGGCCGTATTTGTTATGAATGGTCTCGTTAAAAAATCAACTAATATCGTTTCAATAGTTAGTTTTAATACAATTTATAATAAATAAATCATTCAGAATATTCTTTTTCCACTTCTGATTATCTTAATTCGTCAAAGCCATCTGCATCTAAGCATTCAAGTTTTTAATAAATTGATTGTATTGAATTATTTCTTATTTTCCGATCAGCCAAATGTCGATCATTGGTATGAGACGATGCGTCCATCTACCCTTCTCTGCGGCATCCCACTGAGATTGCCATCGTGCGATGCTGTGCTGTCTTTGTTCCGTTCTGAGTTCTTCTGCGCTCAGTGTTGTTGACCTCTTTCGTTGGTAAAGGTTCCTTCTTTCTTCAGCTAGGACTCTGAGAGGTAGAGTTCCAGAAATGACGCACACTGCTTCCTCAGATATTGTGCGGAAGGCGCAAGCTACTCTTAGGGCACTCAGACGATATACTGGTCCAGCCTTTCTCCATGCTTCTTGTAATTCTAGCGCATCGGCCCAAATAGATATTCCGTAAGTGAGCACCGATGTGACTACTGATGACAGTAATAGCCTCCTGCTCTGCTTTGGGCCTCCGACGTTAGGCATCAATCGTGCGAGGCTTGCCCTTACTACTGACGCTTTGGCACTGACGTGTTCCACTTGCTGTTTAAAGTTGAGACGGGCATCAAGCATCACTCCCAAATATCGGATATATGGTTGTGATGTGATTTCTTGTTCTCCGACTTTCAGTTTTATGGTCTCTATCACTTTTCTGCTGGTAATAAGCACAGCCTCAGTCTTCTGTTTAGCCAGTTGTAGATTCATTGAATCCATCCACCGGTTAACTTTCTCAAAGGTGATACTGAACATATGGTTTATCTCATCTAGGTGTTTCGAAACGATTACGACAGCTACATCGTCTGCATATGCAACAAGCTTGACACTCCTTGCAAGAGTCAGTCTCAGCAGGCCATCATACATAACATTCCACAGAAGTGAACCCAGAACAGAACCCTGGGGTACACCTCCGATAATATC